CATTGATCCCAATGACCAAAACGGTAATCATAAAAATGACAAAAAAACAAAATAAAAAGTAAATATACAAAATAATTCTCCTTTTGTGTTTTCCGATTTGTGATCATTGTAGTTATAATGCACATTCATTCCATGGTATTAAAAGGACCTACCTAAATGGAATAAACATTTGTCAACATGGTTGGCGTCAACCGGTTTCGGATTTGCCTGTCACTGTGGCAAGCAATAGGAAGCCTGCGCCTACAGATGAACTATGGATGGCTTGCATTGCACCACCAACAGCTACATCCACACGCCCCATATCCAATGTAAACCCGAAGGAATAAGACCGGGAGGCATGCGGATGGGAGCCACGTTTCATCAACGGAGCCGGCTCACACTCCTTCACAAGCAAACATTAGCACGTCGTATTTGGGGAATCAAGTGCACACAAGTCGGTGGCTGGACCGTAGTCCGCTCCACACTGAGTGCATGCAACCACTCTTCGAGCCTAGTACGACCACAAGGACCGTGCACACCGACCCCTCCAGCAACAACCAACTGGCTCCTGGAGCCGGATGGACGAGGTAGTGGGTAATAGACAGGTAGGCACCTTGTCAACATGCACATCATGCGCAGCCAGACCTGGGATGTCAAACAACAGCCAATCATTCGGAATGCCGATATCGAATAGAGTAAACGCATATGACGACATAAATACTCGCTAAATGAGCATATAGAAAAAATTGGTTATAAGTGAATCCGCAATTAGTACAAAATGTCCGAAAGTTATCTCAGAAAGATATCACGCGATACAAGTACGCAAGTTTACCGTAATTTTCATGAGCGACGTGTGCAAGTTTGGAGAAGATTATCAAGTAGGCAGAACAAAAATAAAATAAAATGTAATGAATTTTATCCACATTAAAAAGACCTAGTTTGTTGGTTAAGCCCAACTGCAGTGAAGAACCATCATGAATGCTACATCAGCCTCAACGTGGGGCACATCTCTTTCATACATGGTTGGCAGCATCCAGCTTCGGATTTGCCTGTCACTGTAGCCAGCCACAGGACGCCTATGCCTACAGATGAACTATGGATGGCTTGCATTGCACCAACAACAGCTACATAAACACACCCCATATCCAGTGTAAACCCGAAGGAATAAGACCGGAAGGAATGCGGATGGAAGCTACGTTTCATCAACTGAGCCAGCCCACTCTCCTTCACAGGCAAACATAAGCACGTTGTACTTGGAAATCAAGCGCATACACAAGGCGGTGGCCGGACCGTACTCTATAGTGCTGCGACCCGAACGGAATCCACACTGCTCCTCCGCCACGTTAGGTTCCACAACCTGACTGACGAGGCGGTTGAGCAGGATTCGGGCAATCACCTTGCGCACACAACTCAGCAAGTTGATGCCACGATAATTCGTGCAACATTGCTTGCTCTCTTTAACCTTGTACAGTGGTAGCACAACGGCATCATTCAGCTCAGGAGTCACCTCCTTCTCAATCCACACACGTTGCACCAAGTGGTGCGGCGCAGTCAACAACGCGGGTCCACCGTGTTTCAATACTTCAGGCGGGATCCCGTCGGCCCCAGCACACTTGCCGTTTCGTAGCTGAGCAAGTGCTCTCTGCGTCTCATCCAGTGTCGGCGTGTCCGCCAGATTCGCCTTCACATTGTGCTGCTTCAGGCCGTTCAATGTAGGCCAGTCAATCTCTGAACGGTTGTTCAAGAGACAGTCAAAGTGTTTTCGCCAGACCTGCATTATATCTGCCGTCTGGATGCAGGTAGCGCCTGAACTACCATCGATCAACGTCCTCAGCGAATCGACTTCGGTCCAAACACCACCTTCAAGGAGTCAAAGAATTCTTTGTGTTGGCGACGTTCGGCGTAGCACTCCAGCTGCTTCGCCTTCTCCGACCAAAATGCATTTTTTATGCAACGGAGCTCTCGGGTCAGTCGCCGTCGAAGTTTGCGTAACTGACTACTCTTCCCCAAGTCACTGTGGTCTGCGACATGTGCAGCAAATGCTGCATTCTTCTCTGACACCAATGCGCCAATCGTCGCATTGTTCTCATCAAACCAATCAGGCCGCTTACAGTTTGCGCGCCCGATGGTCTCCTCGGCAGCAGCTTTCACCTGGTCGCGAATGTGGTGCCACAGGTCGCCCACTGTGGCTATGCAGTCCACATCACCACACAGGTGTGCAGCCATCGCCTTCTCCAGCTCAGTACGTTTCGCCACAGTACCGAGGGAGAGAATGTTAAATTTACGCCGATGCACGGCGGGAGTACAATACATCGATTTACGAAAATATATGTACAGTTTGGTGTGCAGCAATTTGTGATCAGTGCCACACTCAGCTCCACGCAGTACACGTGTCATGCGCACTTCACGCATATCACGCTGACGTACGATGACATAGTCGAGCAGGTGAGCGTGACCACTCCGTGGGTGCGTCCAAGTTGCTATATCACTCGCACTCAGTGCGAACCGAGTGTTCGTGATCGTCAGGCCGTGGGTGGCACACAGTGATAGCAGCCTGTCACCGTTCGCATTCGCTGAACCAATGCCATGCGCACCGATAACATCTGTCCACGCTGATGCATCACGCCCAACGCGCGCGTTGAAATCACCCAGCAGAAATAGTCGGTCGCTCCTCGGCACAGATCGTATCACGGAGGATAGCTCAGTGTAGAACTGATCACGCGTGTCATCAGGATAACACATGGTCGGACCGTATGTGCTTATAAAAGTAGCAAACTTACCTCTTCCGAGTCGTAGGCGAACAGTCATCAGTCGCGCGCTGATGCCCGTTGGTTCACCCACCAGCTGGCCATGGAAGCGATCGGATATTGCAAATCCGACCCCATGATCACGTGGTGCGAAGGCGGCGTTGCCCATCCAGTAGAATGTGTAGCCAGCACCTGCTTCATGCAACTCACCTTGCTCAGCGAGCCGAGTCACACTGAGCGCCGCAATATCGATGTTGTTGTGCGCCAGCTCCATTGCGACCAGTGCAGTGCGTCGCTTGGGGGCGCTCACTCGAGTTCCGGTCCAGTAGTGTGTGCATGTTCCAGCACCCGATGCCGAGTGCTTTGCGCGCAGGCATACGATTGTATTGGTGGGCAATCGCACGCGAGATGGTCGTTGTGCATCGGAGCTTTACTTGAGGGACTCCACCCGGAGCCCTTGGCACAATAGCGTGACGCACAAAGCAGTGGGTGATTTGGAAGTTTGCTTGAGGGACTCCGCCTAGAGCCTTTGGCTCAATAGCCTGACGCAAAAGGCAGTGGTGAGCAGATCCAGCTCGGGAATGTGACTGCAGAGACAGACTGGGATCTGCTTGACGGTCGTCACACGCAGCCTTTGAGGTACTGGAACGATTCATATTTGTTTTGCCACCGTAATAGGATAAACCTGCGACCACAGAAAGACGCAGGTGGGTTTTGGCGGGTTTGCACCAATTTGACCAGGGGCTGCCTGGCTTGAGGCGGGCAGTAGCAAACCATTGAACACCCGGCAGTGCCCTGCCACTGTCAGAGAAAATGCGTGGCGCTCGTGCTCTACGCCAATCGAGCTGCGAGCTTATAACTCATAGACCTGTTGTCTCTCATGGCTACGTTTTACGGAAAGGGCCATGGACCACTTTCTAACCTCTGAAGAAGATGTACTATGATACTGGCAGGGCGCCTACACCTGACAGGAGATTGACTCGGGTCCTCTGTCAAAGCAGTCGATTAAATGAACACCCGAAAGGCAGCGGTATAGTACATGGTCAGTTTACTGACTCATGCGGATTGGTGTCCTGGATCTTAGCAGGGAGAAGGGCGAAACCCAACTCCCACCCAGCAGTCGCCACGAGGAGGCGCCCAGGACATGAGCAAATGGCACAACAGCAGCAGCAGTGGGTAAACCATCCGTCAGGATCTAACCACCACCAGCCTCAACGCACCATACGCTCCCCAGCCTAAATATATATATATATATATATATATATATATATATATATATATATATATATATATGGCGGTATCGGGTTTCGGATTTGCCTGTCACTGTGGCAAGCAATAGGAAGCCTGCGCCTACAGATGAACTATGGATGGCTTGCATTGCACCACCAACAGCTACATCCACACGCCCCATATCCAATGTAAACCCGAAGGAATAAGACCGGGAGGCATGCGGATGGGAGCCACGTTTCATCAACGGAGCCGACTCACACTCCTTCACAAGCAAACATTAGCACGTCGTATTTGGGGAATCAAGTGCACACAAGTCGGTGGCTGGACCGTAGTCCGCTCCACACTGAGTGCATGCAACCACTCTTCGAGCCTAGTACGACCACAAGGACCGTGCACACCGACCCCTCCAGCAACAACCAACTGGCTCCTGGAGCCGGATGGACGAGGTAGTGGGTAATAGACAGGTAGGCACCTTGTCAACATGCACATCATGCGCAGCCAGACCTGGGATGTCAAACAACAGCCAATCATTCGGAATGCCGATATCGAATAGAGTAAACGCATATGACGACATAAATACTCGCTAAATGAGCATATAGAAAAAATTGGTTATAAGTGAATCCGCAATTAGTACAAAATGTCCGAAAGTTATCTCAGAAAGATATCACGCGATACAAGTACGCAAGTTTACCGTAATTTTCATGAGCGACGTGTGCAAGTTAGGAGAACATTATCAAGTACATAGAACAAACCAAATAAAGTGGAATGAATTTTATCCACATTAAAAAGTCCTAGTTTAACTGTAAGCTGGTTTAGCCCAACCGCGGTGAAGAAGCATGATGGATGCGACATCAGCTTCAGCATTGGGCACACAGCCACATGTAGACATATATGCGTGATCAGACGCGAATATATTAGACATGAGATGAATTAGAATAAAAGAGCGATAAACGAAATGCGGGCACTGTTAACCATAACGCATGAAGTTGCGGATGTAATACTGAAAATGAGATATAAATTCCGATCGAATATCGGTGCACCCACCATCTAAACCGCCTGAATCAAATCCTCGAAGCTTGTCCATGAAGCTGCTGGCTTGTTCCACTACGTTCATCAGCTCTTCCGTGCTGTCTGACATTCGCAGGGATTGAACAAAGTACTCACTAGTGAATGCACTATCTTTGGCCTTCAAATTAAATGAAAAATAACAGAAAACATCCAGTGAAATTTTGGTAACCATAAAAGAACAAGGCGAGGAAGAGTACAATGAGAAACGCAAACTTGAATTGGTAGAAAATAATAATAGTGAGCGACAAGAGGACCAGTATGGGAATTATGAATTCTGTGATGAAAAAAGCATGAAACGAAATAAAATTGACCGTTAGATGGAAAGTGTACAGGTCCCCAAAGATGATGCAATTAAGTGATAGCAACCAGGAGCTGTGCAAAGGAACTGTGACCGCGTAAATGACGAGTCGAGATACGCCCAACAAAAGGCAAGAATAGAAAATAACAAATGTGGAAACTGATAAATCGGGAGCTCAGTGAAGCGGCAAAGAGCAGTCTCCAACGAAGTGAATTTTCGGACAGTCAACTTTACTTCTACTCCAAGGGAAAAGGTATACACGCAATGACGTCCTACAATAGAGTAATAGGGATCGAAGCTACAACCAAAGAAAGGGGGTCGCAAAGTAGTTTGTACCGAGGACGTAGATTGGCGGTGAGCTACCAGTGAGCGCGAGAGCAAATATGAAAAATATAGCACATACAACAGAGAACGAACTCGAACCAGTCAGCAGTAAAAACCCACAATCATAAAAAATATTAGTAGCGTAGAGATTGTAACATGAGGGCGCACCTGCGTCATAGTGATACGGTCCGATTATGGTGGGAGCATGCATGATCAGTAAAAGGCATAGTAAAGAAACATCGGCTGAGCAGGTGACGATAAGTAGGCAAAGCATGCATTATGTGCACACACTAAGTGGCGAAAGGACTAACAGGTAACGGCATCGGAACGAACTCTTGCTTTTTGCATACTCTCGAGTAAGACCGGATGATCGACTGAAACTTATAATTAGTCACTATACAAGTCTCTAAGCAGACTAACGCATGCTGATGAATGTTTCGGTACGCGTTTCGCACTTTCAAATCGAGATGTGCCGGTAACAGTCAAAATGACGAACCGAGTTATCTATCTAGGTAGCTATCATTTCTGGTAGCCTTAAGGGACCTTTAACGCTTAAAACTCATGGGAAGGTGACATGATGTTAGTCGGTTAATGATAGTGTATGCTACGCTGCATTGCGGCTGGTGCTACCGAATGAATCGTTTACAAGATAGTGCGCCTTTAAAGCCAACGTAGATTCGTTGTCTTTGACCTTGAGAGTATGGGTGATCATGCTCAATTCTACTAGAACCACGGAGTGAGTGATGCTGATGTCTGCCAGTTGGTATCTGGGAGCAAACCATCGAGTGCAGAACTAGAACGGATTTGCACTTAGAACCCCAAGTTGCCTTGATCATGCTTCGCACCAACCTGCGGACCACCTAATGCGACACGTGCTACTTCCGGATATATATATATATATATATATATATATATATATATATATATATATAGTGCAGGTATAAACGCAAGAATCTATTATCATGTCGAAGTGCTGGAGAGCTCTTTTCGCTTGCTGGCACCCGAAACGGGACGCTCGTTAAGCGAAATCTTATTTCGTCCCCGGATCCTGTCCTGTTCTGCCTTGCCCTGGTTGTGGTATGAGTATCAAGCCACCGGCGAAGTATTTGCTATGCATTACAGCCCCTCAGATATAGTACAAACTACGTACGCACTGGACACGGAAGCCCCTCGTCCGGACGCATACTATATATTCGGAGACCCTGCCACTTCCCGACAGCGATCCCTGAAGCTGGATGGTTGCTTTTGAGGCAATCATTAACTTTTCTGTGATCACATTGCTCGTCGCTGAATCTCTCGAATCTCGCACACCAAGTTCATCAGTTATTTTTCACGTCAGCAGGTCTAGACCGATTAGGGCTTCTGTTGGCGCTGCGGAGAGCGCCTGTCAACAGGGGGGATAATATAGCAGGTCCGAGTGTGAGGTTGTAGTGATCCCCATAGCAGAATTTGTCGTACCTCGGTTAGACGGCCATTAATGCTTCCTCTTCTTTTTACATTTACGTGTTGTTTGGCGTGATCTCTTACTAGGCGGTGGTAATATGTGTATCGAGCCACCTACAAGATAATTGCTCTGCATTACAGCTCCTCAGGTCTACTAAGGCCTACATACGCACTGGACACGGAAGCTCTCGGAATCCATGATCGGATGCATACTACAATCGGGACCTTCCTACTGTTCTGGTCCCATTTAAAGTTGAAGTAACGCTAATTCAATGTAATGCGCATGTTTCCGGAATCGCACTGACTAGTGGATTTCAATTAGTACCAAATATTCCATGATCAATAGAATGTCACTAATAGTTTTATGAAGTTATGAGAGGTTCGTATTACTCATTTTTGCAGAGCTGAAGAAGCTCAAACGTCGAAGTGTCGGGGATCATAGCTTGCTTACAGGCACAAGAAACGGGACGCTTGTTAGGCGAAGGCCTGTTTCATCCCTGAAGACCTGACCTGAACTATATATTTTAGTGAATGTATTTGGCTGCCTAGCTGATAGGCTGAAGCTAGTAGAGGTAAACAAAGACCCCGAAAGCGAGCGGCCGGTGAACAGGGTCTAGGGTTAGTGGGTTTCCAGGCGGTCAGCCGGCGACCCTTATCCGCCCTGCCCGTTCTGATAGCGCACGATCCAGATCTGGACATTGCGAATGCCTTCAGATATTGTTCAGCAATGTGCGCAGCGTAAGGAATAAGATGCACGGGATAGATCTGCTTTCGGTTATTGGCAGCTGTTCGCTTATCGCGTAGGCTCATGGGTTATTGGAACGCGCGTTGTAATTGCACCGACAGTGAACTGGTTTAAATACCGATTTGACGCCCTTGGTCTGCGGTTTAAAATCTTACCCTTCATGCCTCAAGCTTGGACTCCTCTATTACGACATACTCCTCCTCACTTCATTTTCAGCTGCATCGCAATTTCACTTATGTAATTTGATAAGCTTGCCTTCCCCTTATTTCCTTTATTTTATTCCCGTAATCGGCACAGCGGGGATTGTTAGTGCAGGGCACGTGGGCATTGTTTGACTAAAGTCTACACGTGCGGAATTAACGCTAGCCTGCAAACGCAATAATAGCTCTTAGCCGAACACGACTAGCTGGCAGCGTGCTTATGTGTATTCTGGTCAGAACGGGTACACAGCATAGATAAAGTAACTGAAGCTAGCGAGTCGTGAGTGGGTAATCGATAGAGAGACAGACGCACGCGGTCGATGCTGGTGTGGACACGGACTGGAGATGATAACGCATACGCTACATTCCTCATTCCTGTAGTTGGCACTCCCCCAGGCAGCCCGGCAACGATCAACTGGATGACGGACTCTAGTCGAACAGCGTATTGGTTGAGCTTCTGACTGGCATTTGGTCTGTGTGGCCTCCGCGACTACTGGCTGGATTGGCAGGCGTGGCAATATGTCGTCTGGCCCGGTTTAAACGGAACGACGACGGACGTGATCCATTTGACGGGTAAGCATCCTGCAGTCCGGTAGTGCAACCTCCGCTCTCTGGCCTACAATTTCGCGTAACTCTACAGGTTACCAAGTCGGTTCGTGGGGCAGTTAAACGTAAACTGTCTCGTCCACACGCAGTTCTCGATTTGATGCTTTTTCGATTCTACCTGTTTTCTGATAGCTCTTGCTGCATCTCGACAGGTAATCTCAGGTCGGAAAAGAGTAGGTCTAGCCATGTCCTAAGCCTTAGGCCGAACATTAGTTCGTCTGGAGTCTTGCCAGATGTTGCACTTGGAGTGGAGCGGTAAATGAATAGAAATTTGTCCAACTTCTTTCGGAGTGGGCAGGTGATTGTTACTACAACCCGTTTTTGACTGTCTGGACTGCTCTTTCCGCTAGTCCATTTGAGGCTGGCTAGGAAGGGGCGGTTTTCACATGTCTGATAGCTTTGTTTTGAAGCAACTGGAAGCGTTGGCTAGTGAATACAGAGCCGATGTCCGTCACTAGTGTTTGCGGAATACAGAATGTGCCAAACATGTTCGCATGCAGGAAACAGTTGTCTCGGAAGTAACATGTGTCATTGGAAATACCATAATTCATTTGGAATAGGCATGGACTATGAGAAGAAAGACCTTTCCATCAAGTGGAGCAAAGCAGTCTGCAGGTATGCGCCCCCATGGCTTGTCGAGCCATTTCCAAGGACTCAGTGGCACCAGTGGGACGTTTCTTTGTGTACTTTGAGATGATTCACAGTGTCTGATTAATTTTTCTATGTCGTTATCAATGCCAGGCCACCACACATAAGACCGCGAGAGCCCTTTGATTCTGGTGATACCTGGGTGAGCTTCGGGCAGTTCCTCCAGGACATACTGTCGGAAGCGATGCGGTATAATAGCTCTGGGCCCCGTAAGAAGCAGTCATGCTCGAGGCTTAGTTTTGTACGCCAAGTGAAGTAAGGCAACAATTCCGCGTCACGCTTATCGGGCCATCCTTGGAACACGAAAAGTTTAACTTTGCTGAGGAGTACATCACGCTTTGTCTCACGGCGGATTTCCGCCTTCAACCCCGGCTTCCTGGTCAAATGCTGCATTAACTAGACTAATTCATTTGGTTTCAATACACAATCTGGCATACGATTCAATGGCAACCGGCTCAAGACATTCGCAATGCGTATGCTTTTCCAGGGACATAAGATTTAGTGTAATTGTAAACCGATAACAATAAGGCCCAACACTGCATACGGGGAGATGACATCTGGTCGATGCCTTTGCTTTCACCAAGCAAGGCTAGTGAGGGTTTAAGATCAGTAAAGATTTCGAGACTTCTTCCCCCAAGATACTGGTGAAGTTTCTTAACACTGAATATAACCGCCAACGCTTTCTTATCCAGTTGTGCGTAGTTTTTCACTGCCGGTGCTAAGCTCCTACAGGCAAAAGCGATGGGTCTCACCGTGTGATAATCCATATTGTGAGAAAGTACGTCGCCGAGCCTTGATACTAAAGCGTCCCATTGGAGAGTGATGGGCCTAATCGGATCAAAATGTACTAACAG